AGGATTTTTATATTTAAAAAGTCAGCCCCAATCCACACCCATTCACAAGTTTCTAAAGTTAAAGGTTTTGAAGAAGATGAAAGGTTACCAGTATAAATGAAAGTAAGAATCAAATTAATTGAAGTTGAATTAAAAATTGAAGCGTCAAGTCTTATAGCGGAATTACGAGCTTCAATAAAATCAGAACTAAGCATTTTTTTGAAATATTCAGATCTTGATGATAACATAAAACGATGAGCACGAATTACTATAGGTTTGAAAACTCCTTCATCTTCATCTTCATCAATAATTTCAAGATCATCCTCTACAAATTCCAATATAAGCTCGACATCAGTATATAATTTTGATTTAAGCATATATAATAAATCTTCTTTTATCTTGTCTTGCTCGAGTTCATCCGTAGTATCTACAGCTTGTAAAAAATCTTCACCACCTTCTTCAGCAGTATAAAAAAATTTTAATTCCTGTCTAAACAAGAATGGATCTGCATCTGTCTTTATCATAGCCGGATCCGTATTGGATAACCGCAAAGACCTTATAGACATTCCATTTGCATCCTTATTTTTCAAGAAACGTTCTTGAAATGATCGTGAACTTCGAGCATATAAAATAGCTAGAAATTAAAGATAGTTTGATTAATATTTGATATAAATATAATGGATAAAAGTTTTTCATTAGAATAATCTTTTATTTTTTGAAAAATTCGTTAAATTCAGAAAAAAAAAGACAATTATATTATAATAATATCTTTAATTTTTTCAAAAAACGAAGGAATTAACTTAATAAAGTGACAGAGTAATAAAAATACAGAAATAAAACAATACCTTTGTGAGCATAGATGATTGTTGGACTAAGCGCCAAGGTGAACTCCCAAGCTATGTCAGCATATAATTCTTTCGCATGTTCAAGCGCGTATCTTAAATCGTCAAGTAAACTATCTTTTGGTCGAGTGGTGAAATCTAAACCTTCAGGCAGAGACAAGGTGCATTTGTTTTTCTCCGAAGGCATGGATTGACAAAATTACTGCATAGAACGAGTGAAATGTATAAAATTTTAGGAATATGGTTGTTTCAAATTATATCATACGCAGGTCGAAAGATAAAAATTTTTGGGTTTAGAGAGGGTTCGCTTTTTGTTTATCGTCAAAGACGGCTGCAAGTCACTCTTTTCCTTTTCCTGCAAATAAGGGAACCTAAATTTTTTTGTCATACATGCATGGAACGACCTACTATTATCAGGCACATCTAAATTTACACTTTGCTATCAGTTGTATCATCGTAAATATTAAACCAACAGCCAGGAATGCGTTTCTATTTGGTTTTCTATATATGACAAGCTATAAGCAGTGTTAAAAATTCG